GATTTATTACTTACTCAAGCATCACAACCTTAGAAGCATAGATAATATACAAGCTGCAAAGGATAATAGAGATGGACACATGTATATGTCACTCTCAATTTAGCTGCATGCCTAGCCAACTAATTAGCTAGTAGTAGTTGGCGTAGTAGTTACTAGTACCTTCTAACCTTTATCATCAATAGTCCCTAATTAAGTAACCACCATAGGTTTTAGCAGCCAGGTCACTTGAAATAGCATCCCCCTTTCTTGTTGGAACTGGGGGTACCCAGCAGATATACCATCCCCCACTGGTAATTGTAGGGGGTACCTGATATGAATTCGGTCCACCATGGCCTTGAGTTGATTGCAGCAGATTGCTTCTGGGGTTGCCAGCTTCTTTTGGTGGAGGAACTCGGGGTGCCTCATTGGCATAAGTTCCAGAAGTGCTGCTGAAAACAAGCCTCTGGACTACTGTGACAGGTTTAGGTGGTTTAGGACCTGCTGGCCGCTGGTAGTATTGAAGAGAATTGTCAGCCCACCTGCCGGTGGGGCCATAATGTTCTTCTATAAGTCGGAAGCCTTCATCTGCAACCAGGCGAAGGTGGTGTTGTTGATCGTATGCCATAGTGTTTGTGGTTTCTGTATAGTAAACAAGAATGTATGTCTTGTTTTACTGTCACATAAGAGGCAAAAGGCCCCCATTATATATAGGCAGGTAGAGTTATGAATACTGCAGTAATTTCATTTTTATTTTTTGAGGGTCCAGCATAATTGAAAGGAATATTGGAAAATTTCTGTGCAACCACTTTCTGTGATTCCATTTTTGATTAACATGAACTCTGGTGAAAGGTGATCAATACCCAGGTGATGATCTGGCTCTTTCTATGACTCATTTATGGGGACAGTTTTCTGCATTTTTCTAAAATGGGGCCTGATGCCTCATTTATCTAGAACTAGCAGAAAGTGGCTTTGTGGGACTTGAAAATTCAGATTCTCTAAGGGGAAGATATATGGTGCCACATTGGCCTATTTTTGAAGTATTCCTCTATTAAATAAGTTGAAACTAGACCGAATACGAGTGTTTCTGGTTTTCCGAATGCTTATTGCAATTTTTAGCAAAAAAAAAAAAAAAAAAAAACAGAAACTTCAGATTTGTAATTTCTGGAGGAGTTGTTTTAATTTTTATTTTTTAAGATTACACATGATCATCAGATCGTCTTCTTTAATTTTGAAATTCAATACTTAAAACAGTCCCCTGTTTTGATTGCGAAACAGGGCCCTCAATTTTAGAGGGCTTGCCGCTTATCTTAATTTTTTTATTTTATTTTATAGTCCAATAGAATTCAAATTGTAAGATAATTTTTATATGAAAAAAAGAGAGGAAAAAAAAAAAAAAAACTCTAATGGAATAGTGTTTTTTTATACAAAAGCTTCAGTAGCCAAATTAAGCCAAATAGGCTGGTAGAAAAAAATGAAAAGATCCAGCAAAAAAGAGAAAAAAAAAAAGGGGGTTTGCAAATTGCAATCATAGTTATATGATTATTAAGTGCTAAGCTACTAGATTTGATACACACATGTAGCCTTTTCTAAAATCTTTATCCTCTTTGCCCCACAGTTTGGCATAAAGAGCTACGGATCTGATTACCTTCCCTTTTCAGTCTCTATCAATTCACATGGATTGTTTTCTCATGCACTGAACAAAGTTTATCTGGGTGCAACTGATGAGAATTGGAACAAATTGGAAAAGATTTTACTTTTCTTTTGGTTTTGTTCCAGTTGATTCCTTTCATGATAGTGCTTCAAGAACTCTTGCACTCTCCTCAGTTTGCAGGATAAAACCCATTGCATCCATCTGGTTTTGTTTGTATCTATGAACTGTATACTAAAATATCAACCAAAATAACTAGTTGATTCCCTTCATGATAATGCTTCAAGAAAAAGGAAGAGAATGACTTGAATGTAGAATAATTCTCTTCAAAGTACTTCTCTTTTATTTGTTCTGGAGATTAACCAAATTTTAATTTAAGTTGATCTGAGAACCTTCATGGAAGTTAAAATTTCACAAACAAGTGAAAGTAGAACCATAAATAATTCCTTTAGCTTTTTTTGGACCAAAAATTCTGTTTAGCTGTAACTGAGAAAACAAACAAAAATCAAATTTACTGTGGATAATTGGATATGACTAAAAGTAGAATAAAAAACTATCATAAGAAAAGAAAGGTTGGGACTTTGGATCCACTGACATTCGTTTGATTTCAAAATCAAACATGTGAGTTATATCACTAAATATATCACCATCATTTCAACTATTAGATTTGTAAAATCAACGGAAATTAGGTAATTAAGGCTATAGTGTGCAAGTAGATCTTGACTCAAAAAGGAAAAAGGTACAACCAACTGGATATGTGAGTTGATGAAATTGAAGAGATCGAGAAATTTAATGCATGAAAAATTTCATTTAATCATTCATTATAAAAATAAGCATCTATTGCTAATAACCTTCTTGATTTTCAGGAGTTAGTTTCACTTTCACTGCATTAATCCATAAAGCAATAGTCCTTAAAATTCTGGCGCTCTTTTAGTTAGTTAAGTTTCATATTATTCATAAAAACTGATGCAGGAATAGCTGTGGTAGCTGTAAAGAGGGATTTGTACTGATCATAAAGGAGAAACATTTACAACCTAAAACCAAGACATAATATATTTAATTAATCACCACAACCTTACAAGCGGAGCTGATTTTAAAGGCTGCAAAGGGTAACAGAGTTAAATACATATGTGTTACTCTCAGAGCAGTTCTATGTTTAGGAAACTACTAGTAGTAATAGAAGTAGACTAGCTAGTATTTATATTTGTACCGCAAATTTGATAATCCATTGGTATGGCTTTGCCTTTACCAATAGTATTCCTTACTAATTAACCCACCATAGTTTTTAAATGCTGGTCGCTGGTAATAACGTTCTCATTTCCCGCATAAGCTTGGGGTACCTTTACAGATCTACCATGTGACAGGCTCTTTTGGTTTGGCAATTTGGGGTAACTGATATGCATTTCGCCGGCCATTGCTATTGAAAACAACCTCTTTTGATGCGGGAACTGGTGCCTGACATGCTTGTTTACCTGCAGCAAATTGGGTTCGTACCTGATAAACGTAAGTTGTAGAATTGCTAAAAGGCTCCTGCAACACCGTTTGAGTCCGAGGCCCTTTATAAACATACTTGCAGTGCTGAGGATGGTACTCAGGAGGAGGAGGGGGATTCCTGCTCGGGCCATAGAAGGCGTCTATGATTTCGAAGCCTTCATGTCCAACCCTGCGGAGGTAATCTTTCTGGTATTCCATGGGTTTTTTTGGTCTGTATACTAAAGAAAAAGATCTGTTTTGTTTTACTGTCACCTTGGTTTGGTTAAGAGAGAAAAATCAAATTATATAGGCAGCCAAAAGTTGTGTGGTGAACCGTGCAAGATTCCAATTAATCTCACCACTTCAGGGGTGTAGCATTATTGAAAGGAATAAAATTGGGAACCTAAACTTTCTGTGATTCCATTCTTAATTTACGTGAAACAAAATGCTTTCCTTGTTATTATGAAGTTTCTAAATAAATCTTTCTAAACACCTCATAGTTCAAACCTTTGTTTCTCCCTTTAGTTAGCACAATGAAATTTGGGTCTCGTTACCTTTATTTGGTGTTTTTATGATTTCACATGGACTGTTTTTTTCATGCACTTACAAGATGCTAGAGGTGAAACAGAGAATTTTAATGATGTTTCTAGTAGCCAAATTGCCATTGCCATTTAAAAGGGTTTTGGACAATAATTAGTATATTTTTTAATTTAATACATTTCACAATACATTTATTAAGAAATTTTTTTAAAAAAATTTAAATTCAAGATGATAAAAGTTTTAACTACAAAATTTAATAGTTGAACTGGTGAGCATTAGTGTGTGTATTGAACTAAAAGATGTACTAGTAGTTTTACAAAGATTTTAGGGGGATGGTGTGGAAGTTGGGTAAAGATATTCATTGTTGTTCAAAGGATATTTCAATGGTCATAAAGATTGAGTCCAAAAGTTGGGAAAAGAATAAAAAGCATCAAAAGAACACTTCACATATTCTTTCATATCAATTGCAGAACATAATTTAGCTAAATTTCCAAAAACTATCAACTTAAAACTCTTACTTCGTTAACTAAAATTTGCCCCTTGATTCCTTCAAATCATTATGCATATTATAATAATGCTTCATGAACAAGGAAAGGATATGATTTTTTTTTTTAATGAACGAAAAAGAAATGCTTTTTAAAATACTATTAAACAAGAACTACATATAAGAAATTAAAAAAAAATTCAATTACTATTTATTTGCTATGTCAAATTTTCACATAAATTTTTTGTGTTGTCAGAAAGTTAAAGTAAGACCTTATTTATCAAAAACTTTTAATAAACCTTTTTCACACATCACCTTATTTAAAAATATAAAATTTTAATTTTTATATACTTTTCATAAATTTAATTAATATTTTATATTTTTTAAATAAAAAAATATAAAAACCTACTACCACAATAGAACCCGGCACAATACCTTCAAATTAAACCTAATTAGAGGGAGTATAATATGTAGATAACCAATAAGTATGATGCCCACCAAGTTAAAAGATATTTGTAACTAAGTAAGACATAAATAACCCAAACTTTGTGATCAAAATGGTGTCTGATGATTGTAATCGCTTTGCCTCCATTATTAATACAACATTATTCATTTAAATAGAAAAAAGAGTTTAACGATATACCCCTCTATTAGGACTTGCTTGTGAACTCGTATTGGTGCTGCTCCATCTCACAATACATGATATCAGAATCGATAGTGTTTCATATAAGATGTTTACCCATTAATTTAATAAGTTAAATTAATTTGAACTATAATTTAATAACTTAAAATTTTTAATTCAAAATGGAGTCTAATAATACCACCAAATCAAGGCATAAATAGCTCAAACCTTATGATTAAAACGGAATATGATGAAATGCACGTATTAAGGCAATTTGACCAACTTGAGAACTCATATTGACTTTGACTCTTGGTCTCACAATATATAGCATTAGAATCAACAGTGTTTTATTAATTCTTGGACGGTTGAACACACCATGTGTGAGTGGCCGTAGGCCGTGGACACAGACTCCCATCATCTAAACTTGGGATGAGATTATCACAATTAATGTGGAAAGGTCACACAAATTATGCTGAATTTATTTAGTTTAATTAATTAATATATTATTAATTTATAATTTTTTAAATATCTATTACTTTTAACAATCAAATCAAATAAAATTTTTATTTTAATATTAATAAATATGTGTAATCTTAACTCAATTGTTGTTTATCCATGACCACACCCCTATACTTTTCACAGCCTTTTATTTTTTTGGAAGAGTATATGGCATCAAAATTGTGGGGGTTAGACTTCTTTTTTTTTTTTTTTGTACAACAAAATGATTTTATTAGATAAAGTACAAGGGGTACCCCTGCTCTTGATATAAAAAGGGAAAACCATTGTGCATCTACTTTACCTTATTTTCAAGTAGAGTCAATTAGCTGCTCAGTGCAGCATATCATATTACATCTAGGGGATTACATCTGGAGGATTCCATCAGTACCCATTTAACATTAAGGATAAAGCCATCCAATCTTATGACACGACCTTATTTCCTACCACAGTTATCTCAAAGGCATGCCATAGGATTGGTTAACCAGTCAGAAAGATTGAACAAACATCTAGTCTTCCTTGTTCTAATCCACAAAAAAGATTCCAGCTGAATATGGTCAAACAACTTACTTGTATTCACATTGGAGTCTCGGAATATCTTTTGGTTTCTTGCGAGCCATATGAACCGCACCACAATGTTCTAGATACAATCCCAACCTTCCTTTACACTTGATTCCTTAGCCCACACCCCAAACTCTTTAAAAGATTTCCAGCAATCAATTTCCAACGTAACTGTTATCCCCCACTATTTCCCACAAGCCTTCCACAGCCACCTAGCTATCTTACACTTCAAAAATAGGTGATTAGAGTCCTCAACCTCCCCCTCACATAAAACATAGTTACCATCACCTGAATCATTAATAATCCCTCTTTTTTGCAGGTTACTCTTGGCTGGTATTCTATCTAGCAGTAGTTGCCAATTAAAGGCAGAGATTTTGGTCGGAAGATTAGGGTTCCAAACTCTCTTGTATATTGAGGATGTACCTTGTCTGCTTTGTTCGTTTGCCAATAATCTGTAGGCTGTTTTGGTTGAGTAATTGCCTTCCTTGCTATGCTCCCACTTCCATATGTGGGGGTTAGACTTGAAGTTGATGCCTTTACGGATAAACATATACATGTGATGACTTGGTCTAACCAGCACGACGGCCGGAACTAGCGTCAGCAAGATTACACAGATTCTTCACGCTGCTTCTTTTTCTTCCACTCCGGCCTGAATTCTGGTTTTCAACATATCCATTTCTATCCCAGATATATGCTGTGCAGTCCAGCATGTGGGGATTGGAATCCGCTGGCCTTTGGTTACAGTCCCCCCATTCAAGGGTTTAGCCGGCCTGCAAAAGTGCTGACCCTTTCTATCCTCAAAAATCCCAAGGAACACAAAGCGAGATGCCTTTGGATATTCACACGCACAGCTTATCTTACATATGTAGAATTTCAAATAGATGACAAATTAAGACACAGAGGAAGAAAGAGGGGATTGGACAGATCATAAAGGAGAAACATTTAGAACTGAAATTCCCAAGACATAACATATTTAATCAAGCACCACAACCTTACAAACAGAGCTGATTTTAAAGCTGCAAAGGGTAACAGATATAAATACATTGTGTTGCTCTCAGTGCTGCTCTATATGTCTAGGAAACTACAAGTAATCATAGTAGACTAGCTAGTACTTATTTTTTGTACCACAAAGTTGATAATCCTATTGGTAATTTGGTATCGTTTTAACTTTACCAATAGTACTCCTTACTTACGAACCCACCATAGACTTTAGCTGCCTGGTCACTGGTAAGAATACCCCCGTTCCTGTAGGAACTTGGGGCACCTTACAAATGTACCATGTAGGCTCTTTTGGTTTGCAGTCTGGGGTACCTGATCTGCATTTCACCTGCCATTGCCACTGAAAGCAACATCTTTTGATGGTGGTACTGGGGCCTTTCCTGCAGGAACTTTGGCTTGTACCTGATAAACATAAGTTGTGGAATTGCCAAAAGGCTCCTGCAACACCGTGTAAGTCTGAGGCCGGGGATAAACATACTTGCAGCTTTGCATCTGATGTTGGCAGGCGTCTATGATTTGGAAGCCTTCATGTCCAACCTTGCGGAGGTAATTCTGGTATTCCATGGTTTTTATGTAGTCTCTGTATACTAAAGAAGAAGATCTGTTTTAAAACAAATTTGTTTTACTGTCACCTTGGTTTGGTTAAGAGGGAAAGATCGAATTGTATAGGTAGCCAAAAGTTGTGTAGTTGAAACTGTGCAAGATTCCAATTAATCTCACCACTTCAGAGGTGTAGAATTATTCAAAGGAATAAAATTGGGAACCTAAACTTCCTGTGATTCCATTCTTGATTTACATGAAACAAAATGCTTTCCTTTAGCTTTTATGAAGTTTCTAACTAAATCTTTCTAAACACTTCATAGTCAAACCTTTGTTTCAATTTATAGGTTAGAATAATGAAATTTGGGTCTGATTACCTTTATTTGGTGTTTTTATCAGTTCACATTGACTTTTTTTCTCATGTACTTACAAGTTTCTAGAGGTGAAACGGACAATTTTTAATGATATTTCTTACATACAAATTGTCTTTTAAAAGGGTTTTTGAAGAGGGATGGTGTGGAAGTTGGGCAATATATTCATTGTTATTCAAAGAATATTTCAATGGTCATAAAAATTGAGTCTAAAAGTTGGGAAAAGAATAAAAAGAAAACTTGCCAGATTCTTTTAAATCAATTGCAGAAGATAGTTATGTCGGTTTAATCTACAAAAATTAACTATCAACTAAAATATCTTACTTTGTTAACTAAAATTTGGTACTTGATTCCTTCAATCATTATGCATATTATAATAATTCTTCATGAACAAGGAAAAAGATTTGATTTATATATGTATATATATGAAGGAAAAAGAAATGTTCCTTAAAAATGTAAGTTCAAAGGAGAAATGACTATACCATTTTTTAGTTGTCCTTTGAGAATCATGGTATTGGGTATTGTAGTTATTTTCAATTTGAAGTAACATTTTTTTTTTTCTTTTTTGCCTGTTCAGATTGAAAAAAACAACTCACTAAAAGAAATTTACTTATATATATTAATACAAATAAAGGAAAATCAAGATACTGTAATACTAAAAATATGAGGATAATGATTGTAATCATTTTATATCTTTAATTCATTGAAAAACTATTTTACG